TTATATAAAGAACATTATGAAGAAATTCGATTATTTCGCCTGCTAAGCAACCTGTGCCCTTTAATTAGCAATCAGGATTTCCCAAACTTGAAATGCGAATATGGGTTGAATTTTTTTGATGTATATTTTTACAAGATCTAGTGGCATATTAAAATAATGAAATTTATTAATGTATTTTTACCCGTTTAAACAAGCTTTCGTTTCAATTGTTTTTAAATGATTAAAATCGAAATTATCCTTAAATTAATGTAGCAAAAAAATTTAACGGTTTTCTTCTAATCATAAAAATTTGAATGAAATAAATGTTTATATTGAGGACTATTATATATATCTCAAAAGTTTGGGAAACCTTAGATACGAAGATTAACGAAGATTAGATGTGATTAGAGAAACTATGTGCTCTATTTTCATCAACTTCTTTAAATGTGATTGTCAAGATCATCGTTAATTTTTATTTCGCGGATTGTTTGTAACGAGCATTTGTAGAACTTTACATTAGTGATTAGCCTCTCTTGAAAAATAAATTTTTCTATTGAGAAAATTGAGAAAAGATGGCGCGAAGAGAGACAAGAGATGCAAACTTTTTGTGTAAATTTGTTATAATACGTGAAATGTAGATTTCATTTGAAGAGATGCTTATTTCTCGAGAAAATGTGGAGAAAATAATTTAAAAAGAGAGAACAAGTAAAAAAAATTTGTAAGAATGGCATCGCCCATATATAGACAGTAGAATTGCTTGTACGAATTTCTTTTGAGGGACGCTGGATCGTTGCCTTCATCGAAATACTCGATTCGAAGCTGGTCTTTGGTTGAAAAGAAGGGCTCTCTCTTCGAAGAAAATTATTTTATCTGACTTAGTTGCCTGTCACTTATATACGCGCGCGTGCAGCGCCGTAACTAGCGTTTCTTTTACATATCGCGAATCCAACGGCGTTTTATCAATCGTTCCGCATCACACACAATCTTATCCTTGAGATTTCACTAAAAATATGCATGACGGAATATTGGAATCACGTTCACGTCGAAATCCTTTCACCTTGTATTCGCATAGATCTATATATTCCTAGATCTGCAGATTTCTGATTTTGTAAAATGTCTATAAATTTATAGAATTTAGTTCTACAATTTTGTTTAGATTCTAGAAAAGATTACACAAAAAAAATCAAACATCTTTAATTTCATTTTGTATTCTAGTTACGGCTTTGCAAATTCATAGCTCTCGATTTTCAACGACTTTTAAGATTTTCAACGATACGATGAAAGTTTTATGATAGATATCAGCTGTGTTTTTATGATGAATATTATTAAGATATATAATAAAAATGAGATAAAATGGCTGATCGGACGAACAGTTTCGGCTGGCAATTTTTTTCAGTTGCCGGATCAAGCTGATGTTCTTCGTTAACATTTGTTTAAAACATCCCATTGATGCTCGAAATTAATTAAAAGTTCGAATCTGGTTCGCGCGACACAATTAATTTTCTCATATTTTGTAAAGAAAGAAGATTTTGCCCGATTATCGAGGAAATAAATACGGGGATGTTAAACATATAATATAACAATAGCTTTTACAATGTTTCATTTGTTATTTATCACTACACTCTGAAGAATGGTCATCGTGTTATTATATAGTTTAATTATATTCTCGCGATCGATTATCTAAATGTATAAGTGTATAAGAGAAGTTTTTAGAGAGAAGTTTGTAGAGAAACAACTTGTTTAACTCGATGTCTGAATTAATAATAAATAAAGATACACACTTTTTACCTATGATACACGCTTTCTTTTTATTGGAACAATAAATCTACTATAATAATTCAATATACTAAGAAAAACATAATTACGGTAGCTATAAAGGTGACAATTATACAAATTTTATATTTAAAATTAATATAAAATTAATAAACTATTTTACAGCTGTAATATCTATAAAATAGTAATATTTTATAGATATTACAGCTATAGATATTGCAACCATAAATAATAAACACAGATTAATTAAAAATTTAGTTTTTCTTTCCTTCGATCTTAATATATGTTAATATATTCAGAAAAATATAGTAATATTTTATATTTGTTGCAGGTATGAAACATTATTCATTTATGTATACATTAATTCTACATATAAAAACTTGTGTAGTTGTTACTTTTACAATTGTTATCACTATGTCTTTTTTCTGAGTGCAAGATACTAACAAAAAGAAAAGAAAGAAAACCAAATTGTTTATGAATAGTTACTATTTAAAAGCACAAAAGAAATAAACGGGACAAAAGAAATAAGCGGGACATACGAAACAATCTAGACAAAAGAAACAAGCATTACTTATACTTGACAAAAGTAAGGAGGAAAGTGAGACTTCCTTGTAACGCAACGGTTCTTTAAGTGCGTGACCCAGAGTAGTTAAATGAATCGTTCTAACTTACAACACACTCACATATCCGGAGGATACCTCCAGCATTCGTCGCACGTCGCCAATACGTGATGGTCTTCGGCGATAAGCGATTATCGGAGTGAATCAGCGCATTGAAAATGGAGAACGACACGGCACCTTTTTCCAGCTGAGCGCCCGCGCTGAATCGCATGCACCAGGAAGCGACGGAGAAGTGCAGAGTCTCCGTTGACAGGTAGATAGGTAGGTACACGCACACATTGCGCAGCATCTTCTCTCCACCCGGAATGGAAAACGCGTTCGAGCTCGTCAGCGCGAGTTAATCGACGGAGATTTAACGAATTGTCACGTTCGCAAATTGCGCGATTCTGTCCGCGATACGCGGAACGTAAGTCAACAGTCGCGTGTCATTCGCCGTTCAAGATCACAATTGTGCTGTACGTGACAGTTAAGAAAATTAAAGAGAGACCATCTCAATAAGTAGAAGTCAGATACTTTATCAAAGAATTCCTTTTTTCCACATTGTAGGTACTCCAGAGCTTTTTAATTTACTACGCTATAATTTTCACTGTATTTCATTTCATTTTACTTTAGCTCGATTTTACTTTTATAGTTATACAATTTTCTCTTGCATCTCGTTTACTCATCATCTGTCATAACTAGTTTTCTCTTAATTTCAATATATTTTATGTACTTGCATCGTTACATCTGTAATATCAAATTATACTTCATTTGAGTTATTTTTAATAATTTCTATAGATCGCCTCTGTTTTTATGCCGTTAATTAACTTAATGTAATAGAGTCAAACAATTTAACTGAAGAAAATATATTAAATTGGACTCAAATTTAGTTTATTATTTATTGTTGGTGCAGGTGTCAATATGGACATTGTTTGCTTTAATAAATAACCAGAAATGGATTGATTTTGACATGGAAATTACAAATAACAAAACATTATTTAAAACAAAGGATTGAACTACCATTATTTCTTTGATAACTAATAATGTAGAAGTTTGTATTTTGTTTTAGAATTTTTAATAAATACTTTATTTATCTATATGTAAGGAAAAAAAATATTTTTCTTAAGTAAATGTATTGTTTTCAATCAATTTTTCCGATTAGATATTTAAAAATGTTCTGTTCCTTTAGAAAGCATCTCTCGAATATATGAATTTGTGAATTTGTTTTAATTATGCTAAAATAATGCGAAATAGCGGTTCTGCGCAGACTAATCACCGCACGATGCAGCCTGAGGCACGTGCGCGTCATATCTCATATTACGTCAAGCGACACGCGTTCATTCAAACAAGCGTGTCGCGTCGAGAGATGAATCACGGAATCAGGCAGGCAGATGAGCGGAAGCGCATCTCGTACGAGCGCCCAGAGTCGGAAGACTTCGCCATGTTCCTCCGCGTTCAAATGTGTCGGAATCATTCAGTTACAGACGATTAGTAAATAAATGTTTTTCTCTTATTCCATGAAAATATTTTCTTGAGTTCCTAGCTACAACAGGTTTCGATTCGATGCCGAGTTATTAGATTTTAAGATTAAAAAGCAAACGTCTTCGAATTAAAAAAAATTAAACTATACGTAAGCACTGCAACGCGTCGCTTGTCCCGCCTTTCGATTGAGTATGGCGGTGGATAGCAAGATGGCATGTCCGGTGTTGACGGCCTCTGGAGCAGGTAGCATGCGCACCGCATCGCCCAGAGATCGGAGCTGTCGAGCCGTGGACTCCGGAGCGTAAGATGGCCGCGGTGACAGATACGAGGAGCTGTCAACTCCGCCCGGGAGCCTAAAGCCTAAAATTCTGTGTCACGCGGCTGATCATTTTCGCTCCACACGTAGCGTAAATCTGCCGCGTTGCGTTGCATCACGCTGTATCGGACCGCATTGCAATGCGCGTATACGAGAGTTTACTCGGGACCGTCATTCAAACAGAAACGCATCCAGGCAATCTGAAAACGCACGTCACTTCGTAACCCGTACGTATAACGCGCGTTAAAACGCTTTGCATTCGCGCGTGCGACCCGATTTATTTTTTCTTTCGCAAACTCTCGGCCGCGCGTCAGTCGATCGTACCGTAGGCGTGTCGACGCGGAGATAATCAAACCAGTTCGAGTCGATCGAACTCCGCCGCCTCGTCGCATTGTAAGAGTGCTTTTTCGCAGGAATAACTTTCGTCAACGTTGAGACTGTTCTCAATCATGGAGGCGATCGTAGAATACAATTATGTGGCACAAGAGGATGATGAGTTGACACTAAAAAAGGGTGATATCATCACTGGAATCAAGATGATGCTTGGAGGATGGTGGGAGGGCACCCTAAGGGACAAGCGTGGCATGTTTCCTGATAACTTTGTTAAGGTATTACGCATTGTCCCTTATGATTTACCATTTATATTCATAGAATCAGTAAACACTAACTAACTTAACGTAATCAATATTATAATTTCTTATTCAACAATGTAAGTTGTAATTGTTATATACAATGTATGGTATATTACATTTATATTGTTGAGTGAGAAATTATATTATTGATGTAATGTTACTGTTAATATTTACTAGATTCTGGAAATATTTAACGTGCAGGTACTGGATCCCTCGGCCACTAGTGGAAGTAACGGCAGCGAGACTATAAGCAGCACAAAATCTGATGAGAGTATAATCTTGAGAAATGGATCTGGTAGACGTTTCTGCAAAGTTCTCTTCAGTTATGATCCTTGTAACGAGGATGAGCTAACTTTAGTGCCACATGACTCCATAGAATTTTTGGGAGAAGTAGAAGAAGGATGGTGGAGAGGACGCCTCAGAGGTAGAATCGGCGTGTTTCCCTCAAACTTTGTTTCTCCCCCTGCTCCTGAAGAACAAGAGAGGCATAAAGAACGAGATAAAAAGGAAATGTGCAGAGTACTCTTTCCTTATGAGGCTGCTAATGAGGACGAACTCACTCTGGTTGAGGGAGATACAATTATCATTTTATCTAAGGACGCGCCAGACAAGGTTTATCCATTTATAATCCATCTATAAATTATAATATTATACATTCATTCACAAGTGCATTATATTCCATAGAATCAAAAATAGAGATCTGATTAATATTAATAAATTCAAACAACACAATATTCAAAATTGAGATATAAGATAAGATCTCTTTAATAACATATCTATTTTAACTTTGTATTGTCTGGAAATTAGCCAACTAGATAATGACTGTAAGTACATAATCAATATATATTATATATGTATAATTTATACAGGGTTGGTGGAAAGGAGAACTGAATGGACAAATAGGTTTGTTTCCTGACAATTTTGTTGAAGTGATTGGTACAAAGAATGAATCCCAGGAACAAGAATCTCAGTGGCACGAAACATCGCTGAGTGCAAAATCAAGTATTAGACATTCCCATCAAGTGAAAAAGGTCGAAAAGGCGCACATCAGAAAAAGTTTGGACACTAGGAATATACATTCAACTAATATATCAGGTGAGATACCAACTATTTGAAGTGATATTCCTATTTTGCATGAATATAACTTGAGATGTAATTCCGTATTTTGCCAGATCATTTCCCCACTATAGACACCGCTAAAAAGGGCCTATCTACATTGTCATCTACCTTAACGTCATCATCATCATCATCATCATTGACAGCTACCGGAAGCGGAAGCGGTGATAAGAAGGCTGGTAGCCATTCGATTATATCGAGTCTGAAACGACTTGTGAGCGACGTAGGGAATAATAACGGTATCAGCAATACAACGAGTACTGCTTCAGAGTGTCGCGAGGAATTGGACGGCGTGGAACGAGGAGAGGGTACTCCGCTTGCGCATTTAACAGCTTCTCGCGCTAAAGCGCCTCGGCGACGTCCACCTTCGTCACAGCATCTACGCCATCACGCTGCTGGAGCCAGTATAAGCGCATCTTCGACGCTGCCAACCGTTTCCAGTACCATTATGGTATAATAATAATGATTTAAAAAAATAATCATTGTTTATTAATTATTAGTATTTATTATTTATTGAATTTTATAAATAAAAATCTGATTAATTTTAATATCTTCTATAACTTGTAGGAAGATAATATGTCTAATGGACGCACCGATTCCACATTGGAACAAATACCTGACGAAGAAACGGATGGGCTTGCTGCTAAAGTGAGAAGAAAAGCACCATGGGTAATATATCACTTTTAGAGATAAAATGAAAAGTATAAATAAAAAATTTAAAGATACATAAAGAAAAAAAAAATATATAAAAATCTATTATAAAAGTTTACATATATTATTAAGCATCAAGATTTGATTTTGATTGAGTGATTTGACTAATTATATTTTCTCTTATTTGTTATTGTTCATTTATCAGTTCACAGTTCCACTCCTTAAAATAAAAGAATGTAAGATAAAAGAATGTAAGCTCGCGTTTATTAATCTTATCATCATAATCAATATCACTGTCTCTTGCAGGTCGAAGAATTAAAGATGAATCAAATGGAAAGGAGAAAAATTGCCACAATCGAGAGAATTGATAAGGTGGAAGTTAAAAAGGAACGAAATTTCCCGCGGTAAATTTTGACTTGTTAATTCTAATTTTTTAAATTCATCATGTGTTTCGCAAATATATAATGTTTATTGTCTTATCGTTTATTAGATTAATGACACAAGGAAACGCTGTGGATTTCGTTAACAAATCGGATACCGATAACGAAGATAACAAACAGAAAGATAAAAGTCCGAGAGCCGAAACAAGTTCTCACGCCGATTATAGTCCTAGTGCATCTGGTCAGCCGGCCTACGTTCCATATGCCCTCTACTACAAATTATTGGAAAGGGTAAATATTCAAATAATTCATACATTATGTATTAAATTTTCATTTTAGTAACGTTGCATGCACGTGATACTGTGGACACGCGATATTAATTTAAATTGCTTCAACAAGGTCACCGTGTTAGAAGAGAAACAAGCGGTACTGCAGGCGACAATAGGACAGCTCTCCGAACAGCTTGTACCTCTTCTCGCGAACGCATCGATTAATAGTAAATAATACGATGTTAAGAGAAGAAAATCAATAGTATATTCATCTGCCCGTACTGTATTGGTTTCTCATTACGTCAGTAATGAAGAAAGAAACTAATACTGCTGCTAGAATAACGTTTATTGCTATTACTGTTGTTATATACGTACACATACATATTTATTCATTTGGTAGTATTCGTTTATTGTTTGCTCCGTCGATGCAGTATTCATGTTCCGGTTAAAAACGTAACATTCCATACAACATTCTATGCTTGTAAAAGCATTTCTCTTTCATTTGATTTTTCCGATAATTAATTTAACAGATCTCATTCTAACTGCCGGAGTTTTATTATTCTTTTGATAATAGTAACCGATTTATATGCCTGGATATTCAAACGGCTTAAACTCCACAATTTTTATTTCAAATTTACGACACATATCAGAATTACGAGACACAAATCTTCAATGTATATTTGCACATATTACCTAGATTGTTACGACAAAATTTTCCCATTGTCAGTAGCATGAAAAACCTTGCGACGCAACGTAAAGTTCCAAAAAAAGAAAGAAAGAAAAGAAAAAATAGCGCAAGTGTCCTTCCAGATGGGTGCCTGTGCTTTTCTTGTATCAATTTGTATTTTATTCATTGTTTTATGTTACTTACGTATATATTTTTAATAGAATTTAATGAAGGATTGTGCTAATTATCTTAAGGAGACTGCCTGTTTTTAAAGTGTCAAAAAAATAACAATATTCTTTTTGCAAAAACGATTATTGCTATTATATTGCGCATAAAAATTTTTTATTTGCGCAAATATTTTGTAATATTCACTTTTCAAAAAATATTTATAAATTTTTATATTAAAAAATAATATGATTTAATCGGAAAATTGCATGAGGAACAGACATATCTATAGGTATCTGATCTTATCAAATTGTTGATACTGTAGAGCTGAAACAAAATATTTTAAATAAAAAAATCAATGCATATACTAAACCTATTAAAATTTTAAAAATTGCAAATTGATAAAATTATATCATTTAAAAAAAATATATTTTGTTCAATTAAATTATCGAAAAAGTATTTTTCGAAAATTTATTATTTTGTTAAATTAGGTTTAACATAGAAAAAATAGATACAATTTATACGTCAAAAGCTTAAGTTATTATATTGCTTTCTCTACATTGTTAGCAAAACTGAAAAATCTCGTTTAGAAAAAAATTCATATTAGAACATATCTGCTTTTTTTTGTATTTACATAAATATGTTTTTTCAATTGATGATTCTTGGATCATCATATAAAAAAGCTCATTCTATTCATAGAAATCAAACTGTCTGATTTGTCCATTCAAAATTTTACAAAATATTCTTGAATAATTGTTATTTAAAAAAACGAATTAAACAAATTGATTTTTTGACTCTCCAAACCAGGTAGTCCTCGTATTTTATTATCGTAAGCGATAATACGACAAGGATAGTAAAGTACTTAAATTCGTAGTTCGATAGAGCGTAAGAATTATGTGATTCTTTTTTATTCAACGAACGCAGCTGCCTCGCGATAATGTGTGATGATTTGCTGTAGATTTTTTCAGTAATCTGAGTGCCAATGTAAAGCATTTTGTTTATTGCATTTCCCAGATGCCTCATTCAATAGTGATAAGAGATCCTCGTTGATTTTTCACGAGTAATATCACCAAACTACGGACAAATACGACTCGTACAAGTCTAATTCGACGTGTTCGTCGAGCCATTTATTTTCACCCGCTTGTCAAAGCATACTCCGCTGATCGCTCCAAAGTGGAATATCTTTGAAACGGTGCTAATATAACGCGATATGTGATATATCGTAGCGGCACGTGGTAATACTACACATATAGAAATGAGGCACAGCGAGAGAGAACATTTATGAGACATTTATGAACATTTATTCTGTTCTGTCTTAAATATGAAAGTATCACGACAGGACTATATATAACTAAGGATGTAGGCCGCTTTAAACGACAAATTAGCAGCTTTATTCGATACAATTGCAAATCGTGTTGAATATTAAAAACAAAAAAGTTTTTATTTTTTTATGAAATGGGATTTTAAGTAACTATGGTAAACGAGAAGATTATAGATATATGAGAGGAAATAGATATACGAGGTGGTATTTAGTTTTTTATATATCAGTATTTCATAAAATATATTTAATATTTTAACGAACAATAGTAGATTGAAAGCTATTTCCTCGAATCAGATTGACATAAAAGAGACTTTATTTTTATGCAGATACGCATACATTAAATAATATATATATATATTTTATTCTCTCTCCATTAATTTTTAGTAACCATAGTTTCATACTGCGAAATTTGGCAGATTTAGAGAGCAGTATAATTATTATGTTTACTTGATTGATGCTCGAATGTGTATATGTTGATCGAATTATCAATATACTGCACAATATTTAAGATTTGTGCAAAACGAAATATATTTTGGGGCGGCTCAATCACTTAATAATAGCGAGTTTTTGCAGTAACGTCAATCCAGAATGCTGAAGTCACAGTTACCTTTTTCTTAATTAGTTATTAAGAAAAAGATAACCTAATTTTAGCGTTTATTGTATCTGAATAAACGGTATTGCAAAAACTCTCTAATGTCTCGCACATTGTTTTAACTGTATATCTTCATAACTCTAACAAATTTTACAAGGAAAAAATTTATATTTATGTGGAATCTTTCTTCAAATTAATTCCACTGATAACGGTATATATTATATAATTGATTTTCTGAGAAAAAAGTTTCGATGCAATAAAAAGAAAGATTTTAAATGTAAGTTTTTATTTCACGTGTAATCCGTCCTCCAACATTAGAAAGATATCGATATACAATTCATAAGTTGGCTTTATCATCTAGACTATATTATTTGAATATAATACATTTGCGTAATTAAAAACATTTATGTATTATGTAACTGTTTACACATAATTTTTTTCTCCTTTGCTGAGGAAAGATATTACTTTGATACGAATCGATATTATTCATTATAAAGCGTACTTTTATCGACATACATATGCTATTTCGAAAATTTATCGCAAGGCAAGAATAACTCCACGAAGTTAATTGGATAGATGACATAAAATGTAATAGCTTTTACCGAGGGAGGTACCTCTTTATATTTGTAGAGTATCATAGATAATTTTGAAAAGAATTTCTTTTTATAATTTCGTACAGTGTGTTAATTTGTATAATATATATATGTAACACGTTTCATTTTAATACGAATTCAAAGGCAATTGTCTTAATCAATGTCTAACACTGACCATGCTTACAAAAGAAAGTTCAAAATAAACGAGACCACGTTCAGATTCGTCGCTGTAATCACATCTTTTTATACTTTTATATTTCGCTACAGATCAGGTCATTTGAACGTGACAATTTTTACGTGCATATATGTTCACTCATATCGAACTTCGGTTTACGACACCATTATGCACCATCTTGCAAGTGTAATGCGTGACAATAATAGTTTTTAAGCAAGTTCGGAAGAATCTTTGCTATCTTTTTTCTATAATTATGATTTTTAGTAAAATCACTTTACGATCAAGATACGCGGAAGCTCAATTAAAATATTTGATTGCATTTTATGTCTCTCTCTCTCTCTCTCTCTCTCTCTCTCTCTCTCTTTTGAAGACATTTTAGAACAGTTGTCAAGTATCAGTTAGTCATATTTCGCACCTACAGATACATTGTCTTCCCTCTCGTAAATCTCTTGCAATCCAATCATTGTAAACACAATCATTCAACACTTTGACTTTAATGTAATCATTTTGAGAAAAAATAATGTAAATGCGTTAATTAGATTAGGTCTGTACTTACGAATAAGGCCTTTCCGTTCGCCAGTGAACTTCCAGAATTTGTTTGAAACAGGTGTTTCCAGAACCATTGAGAAAATGTTAATCTGTAAATAAAATAATGTTGAATTCTGCGCATCGAATGAAAACATGCGAGAAACGATTGTAACGAAATCTTTATTCTAAAAGTATCGCGTCCCGAATATTATATATCCGAATGTCACAGTGGATCGACAAATTATAGTCGATCGTGTATTAATCGCGATATAATTATCTCTCACACGCTTTCGATTTTATCACTATGTACGGCGCTAGGGTGAATAAGTGATGTTGCCCACGAGGTTGTAAGACTAATGTAATAGCAGACTATATTTCCGATTGTTGTTGTTCGACATAGAATCTTATCGAGATCATTTTTATATCATATTATAACGAGCTCGATGAATATCCTGTCGAAAAGCATCGGACGAATACGACAGCGCATAGTTGTCTGGCTGCATAGTTGCTAAGTGATATCCCTGTAGAAAGCATGCTCTAGAACGTAAGGAATTAACGATCCAAGAGCAAAATGATTTTTAATGTTATTAACGTTAGGCCTATTATGTACATATATATGTATAAGCGCATTGCGATCCGAGTGAGAGTTATATATATATATATATAAATATATTTTCCCCTCCTTTGTCAACATGTCCAATCGTGCATACGTCGAATTAACAATCGTACCTGTAAATAAAGCCATTAGAGAGTAAATCACTCTCTCATATGCAATGCTGGAGTCCTGTAATCCTATATTAAATCTCTATACATATTTAATGTTTGCCTTCATTTTGATTTTATCGCACTCATTGTTAATGCCTATTTCCATCAATTTTAAATTTCAAAATTTCAGTTTAACTTATTCTCCATTTTTTCTTTAATTTTAATAATTAGAAAAAGATGAAGAGTCATTAATTGAGTCGAGATTAATTTATATTGGTAACGGGCATAAGTGAAACCCAAGCAAACTTCATCAAAAAAGAAAAAATATTACAATACGAGCTAGTTAAAATTAATAAAATTTAATATTTAAAATTAAAATAGTAAAAAGATGTTTTAACTGGCTCGTAGCTCTTGTTATTACTGATTTGATTTATTTCAATTGAGCCATTCTATCATAAAATATTATGTCATTCTAATTTCTCGAGTTTGTTTTTATTATATGTATAATTGCTTCTCATGAAATGCATTTGATTATATATTTAATCGTATCATACATAATGACATATTATGTGTGATTCCCATAACGCCGCTTCGAAGTTTCTCGAGACAACGGTGAGATTTCACAAATAAATGGCAGCAATGCGTGACACGGCATCACTTTCCAGAAGGGTGGCGAACTTTTAGCAGACGGATTTGTGAGAGCAACACAACCTTTCGAGTGTGACGGTTGTTCTTCGCCCCATGCTCGATAATCGAAGCAAGATAAGGGTTCACCTGTCAAAAATCATGTATTTTTTTAGTTTTATAAAGAGAAATGTTTGGCATTCGAATTGAAAGATTTTTATCTTGTTGCAAATAAGAAATGTAAATGATAGCAAATTACCGAATTCGTTCTTCCAAATTCTCTCATTCCTTTCGCTGCTAAGACCAATGAATCTGGAAAAATTCTGCGACATTAATTTGCCGAGGCCTTCCGTGCGCTCTTCGCTTATCACATGTGCGAGCGATGCATTTCGTTTCTGGCAGAAATTTCGTGCCTCCGTGTAATTTAGTATTTCGGACGAGAATAGAAACATTCCCGCTTTAGGAA